GAAGCAGCCTTCTGCTAAGACGCCTTTCCCCCTCCCCCTAACCCCTTCTGCACGCCGCCAGCGTGCCAACCCATCGATCCAAGAAGACAAACAATATGATACTCAACTTTTGGAGATCCGCGCGGATTTTGGGATCTGCTCTGGGCCTCTGGCGAGCTCTGCGCGCCAGAGAGGGGGGTTCAGCGCAGATCCAAGAAATCTGGGCGGACCTCCAAACGTTTTTGTTTATCTAATGGCGGCCCATCCCGCCACCGTGCCTGAGTTGTGGGTATGAAGCCTATTGGATGTTCGTTGGGTTCCCGTGGGAGGCCTCTCGGGGGCCTCTTGGCTGCAATCTGGAGGCCTCTCGGGGGCTGTTCGGGGGCCATTTCGGGGGCCTCTTGGGCATCTTTTTTTGGCTTCTTGGGGGCCTTCGGGGGGCCTCTTGGGGCCTCCTCGGCGCATCTGGGCCGTCTTGGAGGCCACCTTGGGCGTCTTGGGGACCTCTTGGGCCGTCTTGGGGCCTTGGGTCCCTCTTGGGGGCCTCTTGGGCTGTCATGTGGCCATCTTGGAGGCCTCTTGGGCGCTCTTGGGGCGATGTTGGGGACCTCTTGGGCCGTCTTGGGCCGTCGGACAGCTGAAAAGAAGAAAGTGCGATAATCTTTCAAATACCTAAGGGAAATCAATGATTTTGACCCTTTCGAACCTTCCTGGAGGAGCCCTTGGAGGCATCTTGTGGACCTCTTGGGCAGTCTTAGGCCATTTTCGAGTCATCTGGGCCTTCTTGGAGGCTTCTTGGACGAACTTGAAGGCATCTTGGACTCTCTTGGGCCGCCTTGGAGGACAACCTGGACCATCTAGGGCCACCTTGGAGGCCATCTTGGGCTAACCTGACCATCTTAGAGGCCATCTTGAAGCGTCTTGGATTTCTCTTGTGGACGTTGGGGTGGTTTCCGGTGGTTTCCGGTGGCCGGCGGGACGGGCCGAAGCCCCAGGGAATTTTCTAAAAGAACCCCAACCGAAAGGATTCAGCACGCCGGGCAACCCCGTGGCAAGCCAACGGGAGGCGGTGGACCCTAGTGGCCTTCGGCCCATCCCGCCACCGAACCTGGATTGTGGGTGGCCTCTTGTATATGTGTTGGGGTGTCGTGGGGAGCCTCTCGGGGGCCTCTTGGAGCCGGTTTGGGCGCCTCTTGGGTGCCTCTTGAGGCCTCGTGGGATGTCTTTGGGCCTCCTGGAGGCCTCTTGGGCGTGTCTCGGGCGCCTCTTGGGGCCTCTTGGGGCCTCTTGGCGGCCTGTTTCCCGGGGCTTTTTGGAGCGCTTGTTGGGCCATCTTGGAGCCGTCTTGGGCCGTCTTGGGGCCCTCTTGGAGGCGTCTTGGGCTGTCTTGGGGCGGTCTTGGGAGTTTCTTGAGCCGTCTTGGAGCGTCGGAAAGCCGAAAATTCGAGAAGGCCAACATCCTCCAACAATCCTTCGTAACATTGACGACTTGGCCTCTTTGGGCTCTCTCAGAGCGCTCTTGGGGCCTCTTGGGGCCCTCTTGGGAACCATCTTCGGGCGCCTTGGAGCACTCTTGGCTGGCAATGCGAGCACGGCGTAATTTGCTAGGGTTGATGGCCTCGGGGACGCGAACATCGTGTAATTTACGAGAGTTTGCTGCCTCGGGGATACACAACTTGTATAGTTTGCAAGGGTTTATGTCCTCGGGGACGCGAGTATTGTATAGCTTACGAGGGGTTATGGCTTCGGGGACGCGGAAATGGTGTAATTGTATAGGGTTTGTTGCGTCGGAGACCCAAGCATCATGTAATTTACGAAGGTTTGTGGCCTCGGGGACGCGAGCATTGCGTAATATACAAAAGGATTATGGCTCCGGGGCCGCGAATCTCAAGTAGTTTTATTACGAGTCCCACGCCCCTCCAGGAATTCAGAGCACCCGATCCGAGGGTGGTAGGTTGCCGATTTGGGGCTCCCCCCCTCGCGCGGACTTCAACAACCTGCAGTAGAAAGCAGAAAACACGACTGCAACATCGGAGGCTTGAAACTGCAAGTGGGGCAGGGAGCAGCAACTTCGGCCTACAGCCTGGTGGCCCCACAAGGGGGCCGTCGGATAATCTAGAATGCACCTCGGAATGATGCGAAAATTTATGGCTGAAGCTCTCGCTTCCAAAAAGTGGTAAGGACAGTTCCGCCTTATGTTTTGACGATTTCATTTAGCGTTGAACGCGCTCGAAGCAGAACGCGTTGGAGTCGAACCCTGACACAAACGAAGGTGGATCCAGAGTCAGGGTCGTGCCAGCGTCTCTTCTCTGAATCATGCACAGCACTTCGTCCGAGCGAGGCAGTGTGCGAAACTGATACTCAGCATGATGCGGGATACTTTCGTTGTTTGGTCGTCATCGCCCCGCGGGACGCGCCGTGGCCTACCCTTGACCCGCCGCGCGACACTTCCCGCGAGCCGCCCAGTGACGTATCGCAGCCAGCGTGGGCTCAACAATCTAGGTTATGCAATATATGTGAAGCTATCAGTGCTGCGCAATATGCAACGCAACATCTGTGGTGCAATCTATGCTGCGCAATACACGTTGCGCAATATAGGTGGTCAAGCCTGCGTTGTGCAATGTACGTCGTGCGTTTTTGTTTTGTTTTGTTTGATGTGTGTGAGTGTGATCACAACGCGCCGCAGGCGCGAACAACACGTGCATATATATATATATAGAGGTGCTGCGGTACACACACATATATATATGTGTATATATATATAATACATACATATGTATATGTATGTGTATACATATATATAGATATGTCCACATAGGTGTGTGTGTGGCAACATCTGTGATGCAATCTGCCCTCCCTGTCGACCAGCCTCGGGGTGCGACTGGGAGGAGTTATTTTCTTGCACAGGGTGTCTAGAGCTCCGACCACCTTATTTCGGCACGGCACCCCCTCCATCACCCACACATTCCACCAGCCAACGCGCCCCTCCGCCCCGACCCTTTTTATTTCGGCGCGGCACACCCCTCCGTCCCGACCCCTTTACTTCGGCACGGCACACCCCCTCCGCATCCCCCCACCCACCAGCCAGCGCGCCCCTCCGCCCCGACCCCTTTTATTTCGGCACGGCACACCCCTCCGCCCCCCTGTGATTTCGGCATGGCACACTGCTGCCGCATCCCCGCCCGGCCGGCGCCCACCAACCCATGCGCGCCTTTCGCCTCCGCATCACTAAATTCGGCACGGGTCCCCCCCCCCACCCGCTCCCCCCACCCACCAGCAGCGCGCCCCCTCCGCCCCGACCCCTTTACTTCGGCACGGCACCCCCCCCGACCCCACCCCACCACCCACCAGCCAGGCGGCCCCTCCGCCCCCGATCCGTGTTATTTCGGCAGTCACCCCCCTCCGACCGACCCTTTTATTTCGCGCACGGAACACCCCCTTGCTCACCGCACTCCGCATCCACCCAACCACCAGCCCCCCCGCGCGCCCCTCCGCACCCGACCCCCCCGACCCGTTTACTTCGGCAGGCACACCCCCGCCCATCCCCCCCCCCCCACCACAGCCAGCGCGCCCCTCCGGCCCGACCCGTTTTATTTTCGAACCGTCACACCCTCCGCCCCCGACCCTTTTATTTCGACCCGCACACCGACATCCGCATCCACCGCCCACCAGCCAGCGCGCCCCTCCGCCCGGACCCCTTTATTTCGGCACGCCCCCTCCCCCCCCGGGCATCCCCCCACCTACCAGCCAGCGCGCCCCCTCCGCCCCGACCCCTTCATTTCGCTCCCCCCCCCCTTCCTCCCCGCGCGCCCCCATCCGGCCCGACCCCTTTTACCTCGGCACGGCCACACGCCTCCGCCCCGAACACATTCATTCGGCAACAGCACACCCCTCCACACCCCCTCCGCATCCCCCGCCACCACCGCCAGTGCGCCCCTCCGCCCCGACCCCTTTATTTCGGCACGGCACACCCCTCCGCCCCGACCCCCACCAGCACCCACCAGCCAGTGCGCCCCTCCGTCCCGACCCCTTTATTTCGGCACGGCACACGCCTCCGCCCCGACCCCTTTATTTCGGCACGGCACACACCCTCCGCCTCCACCCGCCCACCAGCCAGCGCGCCCCTCCGCCCCGATCTCTAATTTCGGGCGCCGCTTCCCCCACCCCCCTCCGCAACCCCCACCCACCAGCCACGGTCGCCCTTCCGGCCCCGACCCCTTTATTTCGGCACGCCCACCACCTCCCACCTCCGAACATCCCCCACCACCAGCCAGCGCGCCCCTCCGCCCCCTAACCCCTGATTTACCCCCCCCCCCCACCTACCCACTCACAAGCCATCGCGCCCTTCTCCCGCCCCGGACCCCCTTTACTTTTCTGCACACCCCTCCGACCCTGACTTCTTCGATTTTGGCGCGGCACCGCCACCCTCCGACTCCTCCGCGCGCGCCCCTCCATCCCACCACCTTCAGCCAGCGAGCCCCCTCCGCCGACCCCTTGTTTGGCGCGCACCGCCCCTTTTCCCCCCCTGGACCCATCATCTCGGCAGCCACCGCCCCCCCCCCCCCCCCCCCCCCCGAGCACCCCATCACGAGCAGCGCGCCCCCTCCGCCCCCACAACCCCATCCCGAACGCCCCCTCCATCACCCCATTCACCAACCAGCGCGACCCCTCCGCCTCCTCCCCCCCCCTCCGCCCCCACAACCCCATCCCGAACGCCCCCTCCATCACCCCATTCACCAACCAGCGCGACCCCTC